AGAGGGCACCAGACCCCATTACAGATGGTTGTGAGCCACCATGTGGTTGCTGGGAATTGAACTCAGAACCTTTGGAAGAGCAGGCAATGCTCTTAACCTCTGAGCCATCTCTCCAGCCCTGTTCTAGAGTATCTTAAATTCTAGATTCTGTTTGAAAATTTGTATTGATATGGTAGTGGTTTTAATATAAGGTAGATTAAATGAGTTTCAAAAGAAGAAAATATTAATTATGTTTGCTATAAAAAAAGCAGAAACTAAAACAGAATCAAGGTAAAGAGTTACCACCTAATAATAATGACATTTAACATTGTAAGTTATGTCTTTTGAGGTTCTGAAGTGATTTTTTTTTTCAGTAGCTATTGGAAACAGTATTTCTGAGTCAGATTTGCTAATAACCCAAACTAAGAAGTTTTTTAAAAGCAGTGTTGGGGCTGAACCCAGAACCTTAGCATGTGTTAAGCACATACTCCACCACTGAGCTGTGTACTCAGTCCCCAAACTAAGACTCTTTTAATCCTGCCATCATATTTTGTGGTTTGTGTTTTCCCTTCTACTTCTGTAATAATTTTATAATGACTTTGTAATGTTTTTATAAATTTTATAATGATTTTATGTTATTAAGGGACACATTAAAAATTACCTAATGACAGATGAGGAATGTTGGCACATGCCTTTAATCTCAGCGTTGAGGATAAGAAGCAGGTGAACCTCTGAGTTTGGGGCCAGCCTGATGTACATGGTGAGACCATATCTCTGAAGAAAAAAATTTAAATTACCTAGTGACACTAAACTGTCTTAGCTGTACTACGTAGTCCCCTATGCTTGTTTGGAAGTAGGGTATTTGGGAATGTTGGGTTGTATGTAATGTAAACTATTTCCTGACTGTATAAATGGAGGAGCCGGTGCCCCAATTTTATCAATTTTATTTTCTTGTTAGGAGTACATTACTCTGTTAAGAAGTTGATTAATAAGGAAAGTCTTACTTGCTATCAAAGATGTCCTTCCATTCCTTTTAGCATTTTTTTTTACCCTGAGGCAGGGTTTCTCTGTATAGTAGCTTTGGCTGCCCTGCAACTAGCTCTTGTAGACCAGGGTGGCCTCAAACACACAGAGATCTACTTGCCTCTGCCTCCCGAGTTCTGGGATTAAAGGTGTGCACCACCACCCCGGCAGCATTTGGGTTTTAAGAGCAGTGAGATAAACATTTTTCTGTATTCATTCTTGTTTTAGGATGCAAAGGTCATGTCATGGTGGGATTATGGCTACCAGATTACCGCAATGGCAAATCGGACAATTTTAGTGGATAATAACACATGGAATAATACTCATATTTCTCGAGTAGGGCAGGTAAAGTAAATGGGTCCTTAGGGTGTCTGATATCTGAGGTCTGTTGGGAAATGTGTTGCTAGGAGAGCAAGTTGACTTGAGATTTTTTTTTGAACATTGTGCATTTATTTTTCTAGGCAATGGCATCCACAGAAGAAAAAGCATATGAAATCATGAGGGAGCTTGATGTCAGCTATGTGCTTGTCATTTTTGGAGGCCTTACTGGGTATTCCTCTGATGGTACTGTACTTGATATTGTTCTATCTGTGGGCATTGAAGATGTAGTGAATCAGTTACTATTTTAATTTTATTTATTTATATTTGTTTCTGAGAGTGTCATGTCAGCCATTATCATTAGTAACTTACCATGAAAAGAATTATTGCTTATTGTCTTAATTAGGGTTTCTGTTAGCTGTGATGAAACACTTTTATTCAAAGCAACCTGGGGAGGAGAACATTATTTTATCTACAGGGAAAGGAACTCTATCTAGTCAGGAACGTAGAGGTAGGAGCTGATACAGAAGCCATGGAGGAGTGTTGCTTACAGATTTGCTTCTTTTGGCTTGCTCGTCTGATTTTTTGTAGGACCAGAACCAATCAGTCCTACCCTCAGTGAGC